GTTGTGTTTTTGTTGCCCGGAGACACAAACCACAGCAGGAAGTTTGGCTGAAGCAGCTGCGCTCGTTTCCTTCATTTACTGTATTTCTGAAACACGTCCACAGGCCTCACGAGCGATCCTGTGCCTTGCGGCCCTCCTGACATGAGCACATTTCTCCTGTCTAGTTTTGTGTGTCTTGACCTTTTAAATGCTTTTCTGTCCATCCAGCATCGTCTGAGCTCTCTCTCTAAATCTGTGTGTGTGTGTGTGTGTGTGTGTGTGTGTGTGTGTGTGTGTTGGCTAGACTGCTCTCATGGCCCATATGTTGTCTGATCTGTCTAGTAATCGGAGTTAATGGCTGTTATGACCAGACTCATGCGTTCAGATGATATCATTAGAGCTTTATTCCTGTAGTATTTGCATGTTGAAGTGTGTTTAAGTCATGCAATTTCATTTGCATTTGAAAGTCCTCTGGTTGTAAAAGACAAGATAGTTGCTTATTTCTGTGCTGGATATTAGCCAAATAAGTTATGCCTTGTTATGGCATCTGAATGGGGTTTATGTACTCTCTAAATAATTATAAATTTTTTTTGTTCTTTATTTTGCAAAAGAAATCTTATATTATTAATAATTGTATTATTGTTTTATTATAGTATTTATATACTATTATAGTTGTAAAATTTTGAATTAGCTTTTATTTTATAGTTTCAGTTTTTATTTAAATTTTTGTTTGGTTTTAATAATTTAGTTTTTAAAATGGTCATTTTAATCATTTCTTTTAGTATTAACATTTAGATTTTTTTTTTCAGTTTTACTTTGTTCAATTTTAGTTTTCCAAACAAAGATTTATTTATTTATTTATTTATTTGTGGTTTTAATTTGTAAAAATAAATGTATTTGATTCATTTTTTTTTTTTTTATTGTTTTGATTAAATTTTTTTATATTAAATTTTTTAATAAATCTATGATTTTTTTGGTAATGTTAAAGTTTAATATTTAAACGAATAAAAAAAATAATTGAATATATATATATTTTTTTTAATTATTCAACTATACATTTACTTTTTTTAAATTTATAGTTTACTATACAAAAAATAACTCCTATAGCAACGGATCTAACTGACACTTAGAAATTTCTCAGTACTTGTGCAAGAAAGTGTGTTTCTGTTGAAACGGGAGTGAATGTGTACATCTCACACCTTTGACAACATCTTGTCTAAACAAACATATTGCGAAAGCAAATAAAATCATCCGTGTCTTGACACGCAAGCAGACTTTACAACACGCCTTGATCTCCCAGACAATTTCACATCAATTCCTGGGAAGAAAAACGTCCGGAAGAACTGGATTGTGACGTGTTTTACAAGCTCTCGTGTAGGGTTGGGTAATGAAACCCGGTACCAATATGGCACCGGTACCTATGTAACCAGTATGTACCAGAACCGAATCTGAACGCAGATTTCGGTGCCTCATTTCGGTGCCATGCCCGAGCGATCGATTGAAATATTTGTCCTCTGCTTCTCCGAAACGGATGTAAGCATCATCATCACCGGCACCACACGTGAAAAATTATTTCCCGACTGAGAAAATTCACGTGAACTCAAGTCGGAAAGCTCTAATAATACAAATCCAACACATCTTTGTAGTAGCGAGAGTGTCCATGTTGTTTTCACATTCCGACTTAAAAGCACAACTCGGGAAATGAGAGCATCGAGGAGCGTGTGAATGCAGTAATTACACTTGCTCTGATGGCAGCAGGTAGCCTTCCGTTAAAGGGTTAGTTCACCCAAAAATGAAAATTAGCCCATAAATTACTCACCCTCAAGTCATCCTAGGTGTATGACTTTTTTTTTTTTTTTAGAAATGTGTATACTTCCGTTGTAATCACACTTCTAAACCTGTTGCAGCGCTGACCTCATACGTCAAAACAACTTGACCCTCTAACATTTGCACTCTCTATTCTATTTCTATGTATTAATTTATCTATTTCTATGTATTTCTAATTGTTTTATTTATATAGAAAAAAGAGCATCTAACACTAGCATTCTCTATTCTTTCTCTATTCTTTCCACTCTTTTTCTTTTTATTTATTATAAATAATGACCTTCTAACACTAGCATTATCTGTTCTTTTTCTGTTCTATTGAATTGTTTTATTTTTATTTAAAAATGACCCTCTAACACTAGCATTCCCTATTCTTTTTCTATTCGTTCTACTTGTTTTCTTTTTATTTATTATAAAAACAAAATAAGCAAACAAACAAACAAAAACCTTGCTATGTAAACTGTTAGGCCCCGCCCCCTACTGTCCTTTGTTTGGAAAACTAAAATATGGTCACCCTATTATAAATATACTTAATTATGAAAATACCAGAGATGGCTTAAATAACACCGATAAACTATATTGTCGCAGTCGAGTGTTTATTGTCTTTGTTTTATCATTCAAAACATTTATATGTTCTGTTTACTCCGTTAATAGTGATGCCTTTGTCCATATAAGGGATTTCCTGGAGGGTCATGAGCTCTCTATTTCTGTGACTGGATATGTGGATTTTCTGTGCGAGGGCGCCCTCTGGTGTCCAGTATGAATGAAACCGACATCATGTGTTTATAGTGCTAATGGCCAATGGGAATTTTTATTTTTATTTTTTTTAATAAGTATCGGTTCAGGCACCGGAACCGTTTTAAAAGTATCGATTTAGCACCGGTATCGAAAAAAAACCAAACGATACCCAACCCTACCCTCGTGCATCAGGAAGGTTTAGATGTGGTGTTTAAACGGTTCTGATTATTTGCATACTGAATGTGGATTGGTCCTCATTTGCACTGATTTACACTTCAAACTATTAGCCTAGTTCTGTTGTCATATGATGTCTAAATGGGGTTTATGTGCTCTCTAAATTAAAATTTTTTATATATATATATTGTTTTGTTTTTAATTTGTAAGTTAAATGATTTTTATTATTGTTTCTTTGTTTTGTTTGTTTATTATTTCTAAATGAGTTTTGTTTACTCATTTGTATTTTTTTGTTTTGTTTTGTAAATTTAATTTATTTGACTTTTAGCAGTTCTTTTTGTTTTTTACTTCTAAATGAAATTTGATTTATTATTTGTATTTTATTATTATTTTCTGTTTTTTATTTGAAAATGAGGTTTATTTGATAGATAATTTGTTTTTGTTTTTTTGTGTTTTTAATTTGTAAATGAAGTTTATATGGCAAGTAAGTGTGTCAAGATAGCATGTTGACGATTTAAGGTGCTGTACTATTTCTTCCAAAATTTTGCTATCAATTTCTTCAAATTTCTTTATATGATTCATAATTTAAATTGTATTGTTTTCTGTTTTTTGTTTTTTTTTTGTAAATGAAAGTTATCTGATCATTTGTGTATTTTTTGTTTTATTTCTTTGTAATTTGTAAATTAAATTTGACTAATTTGTTTTTATTGTTTTTTGTTTTATTTGTTTTTAATTTGTAAATGTATCTTTTTTTTTTTAAATTCGTCATTTAAATTTATTTAATTATTTCTTATTAATGTTTTTATTCATTTATTTGAATTTGTAAAGGTAATTGATTTGATTCATATTTTTGGGTCAACATAACATAAAGCAGTTCTGGCATTTCATTTACACCTCAAACTTATTATTTTGATCTTTTTTTTTTCTCAGCAGTGATTCTCAAAGGTTGTCAAGTAATACAGTATTTTATATAACTACCATAATGTATGAATAATTTAGAGAGTGTAATAAATGACAGTTTCATGTTATTGCATTGTTTTGTTTATTTTTGATTTGTAAATAAAATAGTTTTGATTAATATTTTCGGTGCGACTATGAAGCAGCTCTGGCGTTTTATTTACACCTCAACCTTTAACTTATTATTTGGATGCCTTTCAACCACCGTTTCCTTTTGGAAATGCTAATCTGCTTTTGGATAAATATGCATTCAGAAGCGTGACTCGACCGAGAGGCTCAACAGCTGTCCGCAGCGTCCCACAGCATCTGTCCGGCCCTCGGCAGGTGCCTGCTGCTGGGGTTACGGGGGGTCAGATGTTACGTCCTGAAATGATTCTGATTGGCTGTGGCTGCAGGAACGTGCCACTGCCAGATCCTTGGAATTGTGGGTAACATAAGTCAGCACACGTGTGTCAGAGAGGACACCGGTCTCTGCAAATCCTTGTTTGATATCAGATTACAGAAATCATTTGTCATCTATGTACCGCGTCAAACACGCCGTGCTGAATGCCTGTGCGTTTGGATATGGTCGAGGTGTATCTTATTTTTTCAGTCCATTACATAAACTCTGAAGTCTGGGACATAATATGATGAGATTTGTCATTTGCATCTTGCGGTTTGGCCAGCTGAAAATTACATAATGTCTCTGAACGGGTGGATCCCCATGTAAACGTACAGATCACATTTTCCACAAAAACAAAAGAAATGAGATGAGAAATCGCATTTGTCAAGAAAAGCATGACGTCCATGCCTGTTTTTAGGACCATGCATTGTAACGTTATTTACATGGGCAATTAAAAATTAAGTACAATTACTACAATTACTGGTGATGCTCCTCAGGCCTGTCCAGACTGTCGCCGGGTCGTTGGCTGAAAACAGTTTTTTCAGCTTTTCAGAGTAGCTTTTATTAGCCACTCTGATCTCCTTTGTTAATCTGTTCCTGGCCTGGTTATACAAGATTTGATCCCCACTTCTGTATGTGTTGATTGCTTGATTTTTGTTTGTTTTTATTGTAGTTATTTTCAGTGGTGATTTTCATTAGATTTAATGCACTTTTAAAATTTTATTTACTACCCAAATTCCTATTTTTACAATGGTTTGTTTTTGTTTGTTTGTTTATGGTGATTCTCATTAGGTTTCCAAATAATACCATGTTTATTTCATTTAAATTAGTGTAACCGTAACATACTGCCTTCATGTATGAATACTTTAGAGAGCATGAAGAATGATAATTGTCATGTTTTGTGTGGATCTAGTTATTCTTCATCAGTGACGTGTGTGTGTTGCAGCTGTTCGACCGCGTGCGTGAGGTTAATCCTGACTTTCATCAGAAGATCATCCCCATCAGCAGCGAGCTCACGGAGCCCGGCCTGGCCATCAGTCCAGAGGATGTACAAACACTCACTTCCTGTATCAACATCGTCTTCCACTGCGCCGCCACCATCCGCTTCGATGAGCCCCTGAAGTGAGTCACACTCAACACCAGTCTTAAGTCGCTGGGGTATATTTGTAGCAATAGCCAAAAATACACTGTATGGGTCAAAATGATTGATTTTTCTTTTATGCCAAAAATCATTAGGGCATTAAGTAAAGATCTTGTTCGATGAAGATATTTTGAAAATTTCCTACCGTAAATATATCAAAACTTAATTTTTGATTAGTAATATGCATTGCTAAGAACTTCATTTGGACAACTTTAAAGATGATTTTCTCAATATTTAGATTTTTTTGCACCCTCAGATTCCAGATTTTCTAATAGTTGTATCTCGACCAAATATTGTCCGATCCTAACAAACCATACATCAATGGAAAGCTTTCAGATGTATAAATCTCAAGTTATATATTATATAAAAAATAAATGACCCTTATGACTGGTTTTGTGGTCCAGGGTCACATATTAGAATGATTTCTGAAGGATCATGTGACACTGATATATGCTGATAATTCAGCTTTGATCACAAGAATAAATTACATTTTACAATATATTCACATAGAAAACAGCTATTTTAAATTATAATAATTTTTCACAATTTTTTTAAATTTTTGATCAAATAAATGCAGCCTTGGTGAGCAGAAGAGACATTAATAAATCTTACCAAACCCAAATTTTGTAACTTTAGTTATGAAACCGTAGCTACACTTTTAAAAGAAGGGAGGGAAATGTAAGAACAGGGTGTCCGCGGGGTCTTAAAAAGTATTAAAAGTTGATGAATCAATTTAGAGAAAATTAAGGCCCTTAATAAGTATTAAAAATTCTTAAATGCCATTTTCAAAGGTTTTCAATTTTGTATCATCTTTTCATTATGTATATTTGTCCGAATAGTGGGGTTCTGTGTTGTTTGGAATCCCGCAAGATTTGACGTCATCTGTTACGGCGTTCACTGACCGACTGCACCGCTGCATGATAGTGCGGGGCTTGTTGATCCCGCTCACGCTGAATTTATGACCATTATCGCCTGCTCCCATCCGCTCCTGCAAACATTCTAATATTGTATATTATTTTCGCACATCAGGGCGCCGCTATCAATATGTGGCGTATTTAAACCCCTTTTGAATGAGCGCTCGCAGTCGCAGTTCACTTTCGATTTCGCGATCGCGCGCGCACTGTGTAAAGGGAGCACATCCTACGATAAAAGATATTTATTTGTCAGTGAGCTCTGGATCTGTTGAGGAGCAAATCCTCCAACATCTTGTCAGTTATCTCTCCTTACTTTTGACCCGTAATCAGTCAAATCTGACTTCTGCAGCTCGTGTTGGATGCAGGGTTGTTGTTGTTGTTTTTTCCACGAAATTGGGCTGCTTTTAAACTGTTGCCATGGGTTGATTTTCCCCAGTGGGTTAAAGGTTTAAAATATTGCATAAATTACATTTGGTTGAAATGCTTGTAACATTTTGCATTCCACCTGTAATAAAACTGTGTTCAGTGTTTTGGGCCACACTAGTAGCTGTGTTTATGATAAATGTGCATAACAGTGACCGTAAAAAAAGTATTTTAGGGATGGAAATGACATTTTTATATATGGGACATGATAATTGCTCTACTTTGGGCTGTTTTTTTTGGGCTTGGGATGCACAATTAAAATGATGTAATAGTTGTGATCATAATTTGACCTTCCATGATCATTCAGACTTGATCAGGTGCAGTACTCTCTGTCAAGCCTGCATCAAATCAAGCACTCTGTAATCACAGCTAAACTGTCTGATCAGTTAGGTGTTTGTCATGAGAAGTGTTCCACAAAACAGCTATGGTTTGCAGACAGTTATAAGAGTTGATGTTACAAATACATCTTTTGAATATACTGTGTGAACTCATTGCCCCGTTAGCTCGGAGAGCTTTGTTTTCTCTCCTCAATAAGTTTTGTCAGTTGTTTTGTTTATTGGTCTAATTCTTGTTTCTTGGGTTGCATTTGTTAGTCACTCAGTTAATTCTCTTGTGCTTTGTTCCACACTTCTGCATTATGTTGTATTGATAATGAGTTATCACAAAGTAAGTCTTTGTTTAGTTGTGCTATCTTACAATCAATATATAGTAAATGTAGGTTAAAGTGTCGCCGATGTAACCGGTTTAAACTTGGAGTGGCGATGAGGTCTTAAAATGTATGGAAAGAGTCTTAAAAAAGGTCTTAAATTTAACTCCATGATTCCTGTATATACCCTGAAGAATAAGAAGAGTAAGAGAGAGAAAGCACACACACACACACACACACACACTGTACTTCTGCTGTGTGGTGAATCTCCGGCTGAGGAGCAGATGTTCACACTGCTGGAGGAGCGAGGGATTGATTAGTGAACCGCTGACTCCAGAGCAGGATCGAGTAAGGGAAAGCTTTGCTCTCCTCCACACACACATCTGTTCACAGGGACCTTTTGCTTCATTTTCCTAAGGAAAATAATAACAGCATTAGTGTCATAATGTGTTTTAAGAATGCAGTCCTCTCATTCCAGCAGCATGTATCATTAATATACTATTATAATTGTTATAAATGTTTTGTAAATACAAATACGTCTTTAATAAATAATTTTATTTTAATAATTTTATATTTAAAGTTTAAGCAGTTTTGTTGTGTTTTTTTGTCTTTTTTAAAAATGTCTGTAAAGTTTAGTTAATTTTTATTTCAGTTTTACATTTAGTTGTTTCAGTATTTTAAGGTAAACGAAACAAAAATGAGAAATATATTTTATTTCATTTAACATTTATTTTATTTTAACTTTTTAGTTTTAGTTAATTTTAATAACCCTGTCATAAACTGTGTATTGTAGTTGGCCAATATTTAGTTTATATTACAATAAGTCATTGCTTTATTTCTGCTCACTATAATACTGTACTGTTAGGTGTATTATTTATGTATTTTTGTAATTTTTTATGTCTTTATTTTAATCAAATGTTTGTTTATTTATTTATTTTTAAATACAATTTATATATTTTGGTTCTGTACAAAATTTATAATAAATGATTAGTTTCTATTACATTACCTTACATTACTTTTTCTACTCACTATAGTACTGTTAAATGTATTTTTAATCTTTTTTAAAAAATCATTTTTTTCATTAATTTCTTTATTTTAATAAATTTTTATTTATTTAATATTATTTATATATTTTGGGTCTACCCCAAATAATTATAATAAATAATTTGTTTCTATTACGTTACCTTATTACTTTTTTTCTACTCACTATAGCACTCTATTAGATGTAGTATTTTTTATAATTTTTTTTATTTAATCACATTTTCTTTATTTTATTATTTAATTTCTTTATTTATTTAAATGAATTTATATATTAAATAATTAACTTATTTTATTTCATTTTATTTACTTATTTTACTTAATTATTTGTTTGTTTGTTTGCATATTTAACATTAACATTAGGATGTTAAGTAAAGATCATGTTCCATGAAGATATTTTGTACATTTCCTACCGTAAATATATCAAAACTTAATGTTTGATTAGTAATATGCATTGCTAAGAACTTCATTTGAACAACTTTAAAGATGATTTTCTCAATATTTAGATTTTTTTGCACCCTCAGATTCCAGATTTTCAAATAGTTGTATCTCGGCCAAATATTGTCCGATCCTAACAAAAACCATACATCAATGGAAAGCTTAATTATTGGACTTTCAGATGAGGTATAAATCTCAATTTTTAAAAAAAATGACCCTTATGACTGGTTTTGTGCTCCAGGGTCACATATTGCATCAGTGCGCGGATGTTTTGTCTGACACGCTGTACTGACCCTGAAGGAGAGCAATGATTTATCTGTCTGTCGCGTTTAACATTTATTTGATTTCAAGTCACACAAATGTTTTTTTGTGTGGTTTTAGTTTCTGTCACAGGCGGTATATTGCCGATCATGATGTGAATTCTGCTGTGTAATGCGAGTGTGCGGCGGTGTTTCATGTGTCTGCGCAGGCATGCGCTGCAGCTGAACGTCATCGCCACGCAGCAGCTCCTCTCTCTGGTGCAGCAGATGCAGCACCTGCAGGCCTTCATCCACATCTCCACCGCTTACGCCAACTGCAACCGCAGACACATCGACGAGGTCATCTACCCTCCTCCGGTCGAGCCCAAGAAACTCATCGACTCTCTGGAGTGAGTGCAATATATCATCATCCTCCTCATCATCTCAAACTCACTTACAGAATCTACCCGGCAACCACATCTATGAGCTTATGTTACCTTATGGAGTTAAAACAACCCAGAGCTGTAAGGGAAGAGTGTGTTCAATATCAGACTTAAGGTAATGTCTTTCAACAGAATTATGGTATGCTGAAAAACATATCAAAACTAAATAAAGATAAAACAAGGAGAGTATCGGAATAAAATAAAAAAAAGCCATAAACACCAGTGTAATTTTAGTATCACTAAGATACTGAAGATACTAAGATATTTTTGGTTAATATTTTGAATTAGTTTATATTTATATATTTTCTATTATATATATTTTATATTTAGTTAAAGTTTGAGTAATTTTGCTGTGTGGTTTTGTCATTTTCTGTAGGGGTTTTTATGTCTATGTAATTCTTAGTTATTTTAACACATCAAGTTAAATTAAAATAAAAACAAGAAATGTGTTCTTGGCAACTAGCTGAAATTAAAAAAAGTGTATATATATATATATGTATATATATATATATATATATATATATATATAAACTTTGCATGTGTGGTTAAAAAATGTGTATATATATATATATATATATATATATATATATATATATATATATATATATATATAAAATATTATTCATGATATTTGTGTATTTATAAAATATCAATTCATAAAATATATAGGCAGGTTTATATTTTAATGTATAAAGACCTAATACATTTTTTTTTATTAATGTTAATATTAATATTATAAATGCGTAAAAATATTTGGAAAATATTTACATTTAAATTATTAGTTTTTTTATATTCACTATAGTACTGTACTTGTTAGATGTATTATTTATTTTATTTATTTAAATATATATTTTGGGTATTTATGTATTTTAATCCTTATTTATTATTTAATCATTTTAATAAAAAAAATAAAAAAAATGTATTTTAGTTAATGAATGAATTAATTTATTTACATTCCTTTTCCTACTCACTATAGTACTATACTTTTAGATGTATTATTTATTTGAATATCTTTTATTATTCATTCATTTGTAAATTTTAATGACATTTTTATTATTTATTTAAATTTATTCATAGTTTTTTTCCCTCATGAACCCCAGTTTAAAAAACACTTGGTTCATGCCACTGGTATTGACTTGTGAAGTGACGTGACATGTGGCCAAGTATGGTGACGCATACTAGGAATTAGTGCTCTGCATTTATCCCATCCTAAGTGCAAACACACACACACCGTGAACACACACCCGGAGCAGTGGGCAGCCATTTATGCTGCGGCGCCCGGGGAGCAGTTGGGTGTTCGGTGCCTTGCTCAAGGGCACCTCAGTCGTGGTATTGAAGGTGGGAGAGAGCGCTGTACATTCACTCCCCCCACCTACAATCCCTGCTGGTACGAGACTCGAACTCGCAACCTTTGGGTTACGAGTCCGACTCTAACCATTAGGCCACGACTTCCCATCTTGGTCATTGCATGTCTGATTTTCCACGTTATTTGACTCTGTCCAGCCAGATAGCATCAGGATGTTTTGTCTGACACACTGTGCTGACCCTGAAACAGAGCAGTGATTTATCTCTGTGTGTGTCGTGTGTGTGTCGTGTGTGTGTGTCGTGTGTGTGTGTCGTGTGTGTGTGTCGTGTGTGTGTGTCGTGTGTGTGTGTCGTGTGTGTGTCGTGTGTGTGTCGTGTGTGTGTAGGTGGATGGATGACAGTATCGTCTGTGACATCACACCCCATCTGATCGGTGACCGGCCCAACACTTACACCTACACCAAAGCACTGGCCGAGTGTGTGGTGCAGCAGCAGAGCGGCAAACTCAACATCGCTATCATACGACCGTCTATCGTGGGAGCCAGCTGGCAGGAGCCGTTCCCCGTGAGTGACGCATCCGCTCGCAACAGTCCTCGCTTTTACAGCTTGGATATCTGAATGATGCAGCTTAATGGTTGCAGATCTGGGCTGGTAACCCAGAGGATTTAGGTTCAAACCTGGACTAATGATTGCATAAACTTAAACATTTCTACATAGCAGAATATCATAGAGACGTTTGGTGGTGTTTATTATCTTTAACTAAAACCATAAAAGAATATATATATCTTTACTTGAAGTAATCATTAGCTGAAATTGTATATATATATATATATATATTTTTTTTTTTAAATGCTCCTCTGTATATATTTTGACCTTAATAACTAAGACTACATTTATCACTGCACTGCCTGGTGTACCTTCATTACGGAATTAAACTTTTCTGCCAACTTTCTGAGTAAAATAACAGAAATACTAAAGAAGGGGCAATCATAGTGCTTCTGCTGGCATCCCATCTGATGCAAAAAGGGAATTAAATCAATAAAGAATGTTAGATATATATATATATATAATACATTTAGGTTAACTCGGTGTTCTAAAAATTATAACTGAAATAAAAAAATTAAAACTAGACATTATTTAAAAAATAATAATTTTCTTTATTTGAAATAAAATAAACTTAAATTGAAGTAAAATAAAATATTACAAAACCTAATCTTATTTTCTTTCAGTTTTCTTTTCAACATTTTCATTTAGTTAAATTTGAAATACTAAAATAACTAAAACGAAATAAAATGGAAAACTAAATTAAAACTATATAGATGTATTTTTAGGTTAACTCGATGTACTAAAATAAACAAAATAATAATAAAAGTGACAAAAACAAACAAAATTACCAAAAAAATTTAAATAACTTTTATTCAAATTATTAACAAAAACTATAATAGAATATCAATGATACTAAAATAACACTGGTTTGGTTTTGACTCTTGACTTACGAGCAACCGCCTAGCAACCACTCAGAGCACCCTAGCAACCGCATAGCAATTGTCTTTTTCTGTGTTTGACAGGGCTGGATAGACAACTTTAATGGACCAAGTGGTGTTTTCATTGCTGTAAGTATTGCTTCGTGATGTTCTACAGCAGATCTGAAAGTCCTGAACCCCACAGAGCGATCTTAACCCTGTAAAACTGACTTGAAGTGACCTTCTAAGGGCTCCAAATGATCTGCATGATCAAAACTCTGCTGTTAAACCTGTCGCACACAATCTACTGCATGCCTTCTGTCCTCTGATTGATAGTTTAGAGTTTTTTATCAAGTCAAAGCTCTTTTAGTGCAATTGAACAAATGTCCAGCGTCAGCTGGAGCTTCATATGTTTTTTTTATGTGAAATCTATTGATTTTAGTAAACGTAAAAATAACTTTGATATTGTTATCAATATTTCCAGATGAACACTTACTGGACTGAATCAGCTGGGCTTTACTTGATTCTCCCATCAATAATTTTTTTGAAAAATCAGTGCGTCTCAAATCTGATCCTCAGGATCTTTTGAGGAGCGTTTGTTTCCAGAAGCTTTACTTTCACTGTTCCTCAGCGGAGGAATGATGTTCACAAGCCTCCAGAACATCTCACATCTTCTGAGGAGCCTTTATTTCTTCAGCTCTCAATCACTGCATTATATGTTTGGAGCATTTCAATCTCTTCTTACTAAGACATATTATTGGAGATCTAGAGCGACGACTGATATTTATAGCATTTTATGTCAGTATCTGCTACACTTTTTTATAAAGATCTTATCGATTTACAAGCATCAGAATTCCATTATATAAATATCAGCATCTGCAACAAATTGCATATTTTTGCTCAGGCTGACTCTCTGAATAAATCTGAGCTGTTTTTTCCTCCAGATTCTCACTATATCAGACTATATATGAGCCATAAAACCCTGATGAAAAAAACTAACTTATTTTCTTTTATATGTTCTTTTTTTTTAATTCTTTTGAATTTAATTTAAAAAAATTATTTTATATTTTTTGCTTTTATATTAAGGTTTTAGTAAACCGTTCCATTAAAAAAAATAGATTTCTCTGACAGTTATTTTATGTCAGGCTAAATTATGATGGACAAACTAAACAGACCTAAACATTAAAAGAGCAGTTTTAGTGTGAAACTGAAATCAGAATCATGATGGCTTTTAACTTGAGTTGCATTGAAATCAGTATACAACAAGGTGTTTTAACATCCGTAAAAATGATATTGTACCTCCTCGCATCACTCGCTGACCTGGCAAGATTCAAGCGTGTGTTTTGTGTGTCCCGGTGCAGGCTGGGAAGGGCATCCTGCGCACCATGAGAGCCAGTAATGATGCGGTGGCTGATCTGATTCCTGTAGACGTGGTTATAAACCTGACGCTGGCCGCCGGCTGGTACACCGCGGTGCACAGGTGAGATTTGCTTATGCTAGACCCGCAGGTCATTAAACGGAGAATATTAGCATGAAGAATCCCTCTGCTGATGTATTTGCGTAAGGCAGAAATGTGCGGTTGTTCACATATGGCACGGTGTGATTTCCTTGTTCTGTGTTTTTATTTCAGACCGAAAACTGCACTCGTGTACAACTGCACAACCGGAGGCATTAACCCTTTCCACTGGGGCGAGATCGGTGCGTAACATACATGTGATGTAATGTAGTGAAATGTTTTTCCTTAGTTCCTCATCTCACAGTGCAACAACACACAGAAACAACAACGAGTTTAGGACATGCATGTGCATAATAAAAAATTGAATACAGAATGTTTGAAGAAATTATGTGAATAAAAGAAATTAGAATAAATGGAAGACAGAATATAGTAGAGAGAGAAAATAAATATAGAAAATACATATAAATAAATAAATTAGCTATACAGTTGGATTTACAGTGTTTGAGCATTTACTCATATTTTTCACAAATTTTACAAATAAATAGTTTTTAATAAATAGAAAAACTGAAATGGTATTTTGTTGTAAAATGAACTCTGAACATTTTTTTTGTTCTTAATTCTCAATACTTTTGTTTTGCAACTTTGAAAAATGTATATATTTTTTAGAAATAGTATGCAGTATACAATCAATGTTTGAAACCGTGTTATGGTCAGTATTGTATTACATTGTATTATTGTATTACATTACAAAATAAAATAAATTAAATAAATAATTTCAAAGAAATTGAAGTAACCTGTTGAATTAAACATGACATTTTAAAAGTAGAAAGACTGAAATGGTATTGTCTTGTAAAACATACACTAATATTTTTACAGTATTTTACTTTACATTTTTTACAGTGTACATACTATTTTTTCATGCAGTATGCATGTTGTAAACAGTAGTTGCAAAAATTGCTAGTAAATTTCACAACTAATTTCAAAGAAACGGCAAGTAACACATTGAATTAAACATGACATTTTGAAGTAGAAAAACTGAATGAACTCCACTCATTTTAATTTATTTACAACTTAAATCTTTTTTATATTGTACAATCCTATTAAAAAAGCATATAAAATAGTATGCAATAAATGTTTGAAACAGTATTATTGTCGCTGTTGCATGTTTAATTCCAGGTGCCAGAAGCTTTATTACCAAGTATGTTTACACACAAGGAGTTTGACTTGGAAAGACTCTCAAACTAAAAAATAAACCATAATTGCATAACTTCAGGTTAATTGAAAATACAAAAATGTACAAATAAATAAAATACAAAACGGTGTGCATACTATTAATTTAATAGAAAAAGCATATGAAATATTATGCAGTATGCAATGCTAAATGTTTGAAAGATTGTCACTGTGTTGTATGTTTAATATTATTGTACATTTAATTCAGGTGTCCAGACTGATGTCAAAAATAAATTATAATTGCATAACTTAATCCTCACACTGGACACAATGCAATGCACACAGTTTCAGTGCATTGCATTTGCATACTGCACATTTTAGCAGATGCATACTGCTTTGTTTCAAACTGGGATCATGCTGTACTGTATGTGTGCGGTGTGTGTCGTGCCGGAGGGCAGCTCACTGGTCAGAGCAGCTGAAGCGTTTCCTTGGCAACAGCAGGATAGAGGGTTTACCATGAGCAACATCTGGCTGCCAGCATCACCCTGCCAACGGCCAGAAACAGTGTAGTGTTACGTTCAGATTCATGCTTCAGTAAATAGTGGTTTAGTAGTTGTCATATATACAATATCGTTTGCTTTCCAGAGCATCACGTGATGTCCACGTTCAAGAGGAATCCTCTGGAACAGGCTTTCCGTCGGCCAAACGCTAACATCACCTCCAATTACCTGATCTACCAGTACTGGATCCTCGTCAGTCACAAGTTCCCCGCACTCATCTATGACCTGTTCCTCCGACTGTCCGGACAGAAACCACAGTGAGAACAAAACAACCTCTTAAGAGTGACATTATACTCACATGAGCTGTTCTGTTCTGATAAAATGGCACGGATCTGTAATATAATATAATGTAATCATTCAAATGTTTGGGGGTAGATTTATCAGTGTCTCTTCTGCTCACCAAGGCTGCATTTTTTTTCAATTAAAAATACAGGGAAAACAGTAATATTGTGAAATATTATTATAATTTTAAAATAGCTGTTTTTTTTTGTTAAATATATATTATAAAATGTAATTTATTGCTGTGATCAAAGCTGAATTTACTCCAGTCTTCAGTGTCACATGATCTTCAGAAATCATGCTAATATGCTGATTTGCTGCTCAAGAAACATTTATTATTATTATCAATGTTGAAAACAGTTGTGCTGCCCAATATTTTTGTGGGAACTGTGAAACATTAGATTTTTTTTCCAGAATTCTTTGATAAATAGAAGGAAAAAAACAGCGTTTATTTGAAATAGAATTGGAAATCTTTTATTATGAAAGCCTTTACTGTCACTCTTGCTAATGCATCCTTGCTGAATAAAAGTATTCATTCATTTAACATCTTACTGACCCCAAACTTTTGAATTATAACATATTTTGTATTATAGAAGTAAGAATAAAATATCTATAGAAAACAAATCATTAGAAAAATAGCATGTTTTGGTCAAATGTTATATTATAGAAATAAGAGAAATGTCTATAGAAATTAGAAAATAATTTTTTTTATTGTTAACATATAAATAGAAACATTGGTATTTATTACATTATTAATTTAATATACTTGAATGTAATATTATGATTATTAATCATTATTAACATAGAAATCAAATATGTATTGAAATTAGAAAAATATATGGTCAATATATAAATTATATACACTTAGTATAATATACATTTATGATTATTAAAATTAATAATGAATGCTGTTTAATACATTATTATATTTGTTATATTATAGAAATAAAATATCTATAGAAATGAGAAAAATGCATGCATTGTTAACATATAAATAGAAATATCAGTAATTATTTTATTATTAATATGAATAATTCATAATGTAATCATAATACATATTAATATAATTTCTTATGTATTATATTACTGAAATAGATACAAAACAAATATCTATGATAGTATAATTGTCATTGGGCGAATTTCAAACGGAAGTGAGCATCCCTATGCCCTACTCCCTTCGAAGGGCAGAGTTCTTTTAAGGGTGCAGGGCATGACTGTCTCGTATAAGCGTTTGGAACTCTCTTGGCGAAGGGAATGACCGACCAAATGTTACCTTGACAACGCTGCGCATGCGTGTAGCATTCTGCACTCCATCAGCTGTTGCAAATAAATATTTCTTATTATTATTTTATTCAAATATTGTCTAATGGTGTCTTATTTACTATTAAACTTTTTCAAACTAAATTTGCTTACACTACCGTCTTAAATTACAATGAACAGTCTTTATTAATCAATAGGACAAGGAACACCCACGTAGCACCGGGGAATGATGTTTAGACAGGACGCAGGACTCAGGAAACCACAGGGCTTAAGTAATGGAACAAATGAGGAAATAAACGAGACACAGCTGGAATCAATTTTCAAACTAAATTTGCTTACACTACCGTCTTAAATCATATTTCTATCACTGACAAGAAATATTTTGTCTTACATTAAAATAGACAAGCCTATTCTATTTACGTTTGTATGTGAAGTCGAAATCAAACCCAACTTTGCTTTAAAAAGCATCCAAGATCTACTAACCGCAGAGGTGTAAAGAGTACATAAAAACCATACTTAAGTAAAAGTACAGATACCTTACAGTGAAAATTACTCCACTACACGTTACAAGTCACCAATTCCAAAACAACTTGAGTAAAAGTCTCAGAGTATCTGATTTTAACAGTACTTAAGTATTTTACTCATACTAAATATAGGCTCAAAGATGCACTAGTCAAAGAGACGTGCCAGTGATAAACTGTAACGTTGTGGAGAAGCTGCGGAAAACAGGCAGAGGCACACAGGATCTATGTGCAGGTATTTCTTGGAAAAACTAGAACAAACAAAAAGGCAAAAAACAAAGAACAGAATGACTGGCAAACAAACAACCATTACATTCAACAACTCACAAGGAACTAAATAAAAACTAGGGCTATATATATACACGGGGCTAACAAGCTTAACAAGACACACCTGGGGAGACTAATCAAGGGGAACCAATGAACAAACGGACTACAAACTGACTACAAACACCACGGGAGACAGGAAGTGACATAAAAGTCCAGGGCAAGGCACAGAGAGCATGAAACAAACAAGAAAGAGTTGATTTGTGAGGAGAGCAATCACGTTTATTTTCTAAAACCAAAATAAAACTGAACACCTCAAAATTACAAACCAAAACAAACAAACAATATATTTCAAAAAGGTTAAGGTTAAGTAACTACTCAGTACAACTACAAAGTACCCGAAAAGATACTCAAGTGCAGTAACTAAGTACATTTACTCCAATACTTTACACCTCTGACTAACCGAAGATCACATGATCACAAACGGAATTCACTTCCGTGACGTGACCATCACATGTTCCCTTCGCTAACGGACTTCTGGAAGGGCCCTTCGTGAAGGGATTCAGTTGTTCACTTTCGTTTGGAACGTCCCTACAAATGGCGTCCCCTTCCCGAAGTGCCCTTCTAGGGCGTTTGGAATTCGCCCATTGAGTGTTCATGTCTGTGTGACCTGTGTTCATTCAGAATGATGCGCATTTTCAACCGTCTGCACAAAGCCATCGGTCTGCTGGAGTACTTCAGCAGTCAGGACTGGGAGTGGAACTCCGACAACATGAACATGCTGATGAGTCAGCTGAGCGCCGAGGACAGGAAGGTACAGCCACACACACACACACACACACACACACCGCATGAACACACTGACAGTCTGTGTCCAAACTCTGCTGAACTCTTCCTCGTGATCTTTCAGACCTTCAACTTTGACGTTCGTCAGCTGAACTGGCCCGAGTACATCGAGAATTACTGTATCGGCACCAAGAAGTACGTTCTGAACGAGGACATGTCAGACATTCCCGCCGCCAGACAGCACCTGAGGAAGTACGTCCATCTGATGACACGTTTACACTGGTATTGAACTGAACTGAGCTGAATAACGACGCCATAGTCTTCTGCAGAGCTGCTTTACAGCTCAAATTGAAGTTAAAAGTATTAATTCTTTACCACAAACCTTTGAAGGGTAGTGTATATTATATTAAAATGAAATATCTATAGAAAAAATGGAAATTGGAAAAGAAAAAAGGAAAAAAATAGTTTTATTATTATTAATTATAATACACTATATAAATGTATTATTAAAATGTATTTACGCTATTTTTAGTGGATTTAATACATCCTTGCAGATTAAAAGCATTCTTACTGTCATATATTATATTATGTTGTATTATATTATAGAAATAACAAATAAGATATTTATAGAAAAAAATTGAAATGAGAAAATAAGACAATGTTTTGCATGTTTTGGAAATGCAGAAATGGAAAAATTATTATTAATTATAATGTTATAATGTAGTCCTTGAATAATAATATAATAAATGTATTATTATGACTGTAGATACTGTCAATTTTAAAAGATTTAATGTATCCTTGCTAATTAAAACTATTTTTACTCTTATATATTATATTATATTAAATAAAATATCTGCAGAAATAGAATAGAATAGAAAATCAGACAATATAGCATGTTTTGGAAATAAAGAAATAGAAAAATTATATATTATATTATATTATAGATGTATCTATAGAAACAAAAAATAGAAAATGGAGAAAATAAAACAGCGTGTATTGAAAAATAGAAATTATTTAAAAAAAAACATTGTCTGATTCTATCATTAGCACATAATAATACATATGAAAGGTTTGTGTGATGGTGAATAAATAATGGCCTGTAAACACACCGCAGCCTGTCCATAGAGAAGAGGAAGCTTGATTAAACACACATTGAGTTTATTGATAGTCAGTAATTGTTTGGTGTTTCATTGAATTATTGATCCTCTCTTCCTCCTGTTCACAGGCTGAGAAACATCCGATACACGTTCAACACGGTGCTGCTGGTCTTCATCTGGCGCGTCTTCATCGCTCGCTCTCAGATGGCCAGGAACATCTGGTACTTCGTCGTGAGTTTGTGCTTCAAGTTCCTGTCCTACTTCAGGGCTTCCAGCACTCTGACCCAATGACCGGAGCAACAGGAAGTGTGTGTCCTTATCCTCCGAGCACTTCCTCTTCCAGAGGTGTCTTCAACCATTCTCACACACACACACACACACACAGGTGTTTCTTTAGCTTTCCTCACCGGCCGCTCGCTCCACCTGACTCCTCCATGTGCTGTTTTTAAAGATGTTTACTTTTATAACGACTGTCCTTAATACCGATTATATATGCAACTGCATTTTACAGTTTCTCCTTTACATTCTTGTCACCATCCAAAATCCAGAGATGCTGCCTTTGTGTCTTCTGATGATTTTAGCCTTCTCGACTACAGACAGTGTTTCGGACCACTGGACCACCGCTCAAAGCTTTGCTGTTTTCAGCCATTTCTCTCTCTTTGCGAGTGTGTGTTTGTCTCTTAACGGTTCGTTTGTGTCCTGTCTGTTCTAATACCGTGTAATCAAGCCGGAAAACTCTTTCGGTTGGTGTTTTGTGTTTTTTTTCTTGTTTAGTTTGCTGCGTTCGGAGGGAAAGGCCTGTGAACTCCAACAGATCTGATGCATTTATAACATCACACATATTTTTTTGCCAAGTCATCGCTTGCTCAACTGTATATCCACCAGTTTAATCATAAACACTCAAAATCAAAAGAAAAAAAAGTCTTTTCATGAAGAAAATGCAGCCTATTTTTAAGGAACTAAAATAGTTCCTAAAATTACATTTTCATGACAATTAAGCACTTTTACCACCAAATTGAATGCATTTTTAACGATTCTAGAATTATTCTAAAAGTCAATTCTCATTACTGTAATACAGTGCTTTTACAGTATTACTGTAAAAATAAATACGGTTATATTATTACATTTTAAATATTAAATAAATTTTTAACAATTAATATAAAATATTATATATAATTATTGTAATTTATTATAATTGTACTTATTTTTAATAAATTAAATATATATAAATAATAAATATAACAATTTTATTTTTTTAAATTTATTTTATTGAATTATTATTATTGATTAATAATTCAATTTAGAAAATATTGAATTTTTTTCCAAATTTCTTTGAAATATGACATACTCGACGCGTTTCACCCATTTATGTCTGTTAATTTTTCTGTTTGTACAGCAGAACACACAGTTTATCGTCAGACTCTTTCTGCGAGTGTTAGATGAGGATATTTCTGTCTGTAGACGGGCGTAAGATAGTTTCATCGGTCTGTAAATATTCTAGATATATAAATATATTCCTTTTCAGATGATATACATACCAAAAATGTACAAATGTATATTTGCGAGGGTGAATCAAAGGCTGGTTAAGAACATCTATTTCCGGAAATGATTGAGGGCTTCCCATATTTTTTTGAAGAAAAGCGAAAAGTGAAGAAAAAAAGCGTCGAGTCTCTATTTCAGTGTTGTTTTATGTGTATTGACCACTGTTTAAAGTGCTCTGAATCTAGAGACGTAAAGGGACTTAAACCTGCAAACCTTTTCATCCGATTTCAGGATGAAACCAGCTTTTCAATCATTGACTTTGGTAGTTTCTATGCAGCACAACCTGTTTCTTCCTTCTAGAAACGTTTCTATTTTGTTACCGCTTGCTTTTTCACCTTTCTGAAGCACTTTTATTTCTGTTTGCTTGTCAGATGAGCCAAAATGAGTGCATTTATAACGTTTTATGAATCTACTACTCCGCCAGCGGTTGAATATAAACCTGACAGCTAATATTTCGTACGGTTTTACAGCATCGTGATCAATAGACACTATTTGAGGATCTCATGAGTGTTCATTTTTCTACACTCCCCCTGGAGATCTACTGCTAAGACGTGTCTGCCTTCTGTCGTCCGGTCTTTTGTATGTCGCACACAGTATTCATGCGTCTTCCTCAGCTCGTTTAGCAGTAGTGGAGAGATTCCTTTAGATGATTTGAGATGTTTTTTCTTCTGCACGTTACGAGTCTCAGTAGAGAAAGCACACGCACACTAACATCTCCTCTTAGAGCATTCCAGACATGAGAAAAACAGACATTTTTCTACGAGAAACGAACACCTTGATGTCTTAACAACGGCAACCCTTCGTTTTTTAAGCCAAGCTGAGCTTTTAAATGAAGCTTCTACTGCCAACGTGATCTTTACAATCTCAAGCGTTTGTGCTCTGCCACTGATGTTTGTACAGATGAGGTGATTGAGCTGCATTGGGTTTGCAGTAAAATGATTTTTTTTTAAAGAAAAGTCCCCTTCTGAAAAAGTTTCTTTCTTCCAATGTAACGCATGTTTGCTTTTTACATGAGATTTTCACAGTAGTGGCTGACATGGATTTTGACCTTCCTCTGCTCAACATTTGTCTCCATGATGTGTTGTACGGTCGAGGTCCTTGAATGAAAAACTGTACTTTGATAAATTGTGTGCTTGACCGTTTGTTGCAAAAGAATTCATGATGAAATAAACTGAAATGACCAAGTTCTTGGTTGTCTTCTTCTTTTATTTCACCACACTATGAAACAATATCAACACAAACATGGAATGATATTCAGAATTGGTTTTGTATGTTTTATGTTCTGGGTCAATTTGACCTGCAACACATTTTTGGGTTTTCAGAAATACAGGTAAGAATGTCTGACTTGAAATTGTGTGACTATTTCAGGTCATGAACATGGCTGGAAAGTTTCAACGCTGTGTTGTGGCATGTGCGTATGAAATCTGACCTGCAAATTTTTTATTTAAAGGCAGGTGCACAGACAATTAAAAAATAAATAAATAAATAAATATATATATATATATTTCACATTTAGTCTAGAACTACATCATGTTCACACAGCGCACACAACTCCTCTGTACTCCTGATTTCTCCCAGTATGTGGACAGGAGAGCTGTCAGTCAATAAATGGGAAAAAGTAACTGGCATTACTTTTTTGAAAAGTAACTCTTTAGATATTTTCTTGTAAATTAAAAAAGTAATGTTACTTTACTAGTTACTTGAAAATGTAATCTGATTACGTAACTCGCATTACTTGTAATGAGTTACCCCCAACACTGTATATAACAAATGTTTAGACCATAGTTATAATAGTTTTTTAAAAATCTCTCGTTAATTTTTTTGTTAATGCACTGAAAAAAAATGGTGTAGAATTTACTTTGAAACCATTTTTACTCAGAAATTGCTAGCAGATTTTAGAAATAATTACAAAGAGACACTGAATTAAACATACAGTTTTGAGAAATTCTTGTAAAATGTACTCCAAAAAAAAAACTTAATTTACAACTTTACAATTTTGTTTAAAAAAAGTGTAACCGCTAATGCTAACACTTCAGCTTTTATTTATTTATTTGAATGGTTGCCACTGAATAAACAGCTTTTTAGAGGAAACAGCTTATCATTTAATGAATCGACAGCCTATCGGCTAATCTTCAACATGTTTTACACTAAACAATACTTTTGGATTGAACTATTTTTAGAGTTTACACCAGGAAAAAAATGCCTTTTATAAGAGAAGTCACTGACTTTTTGCGACAGGAGGGATTCATCTTACGGCACTTCTCATTCATTCCTATGGGAGCCGTAAACGGCGATTGAGTGTCGCACAACTCAATCCAAAGTACCAATGTGATTGGTTATTAAGGCACACGTGATCCAAGTTGACCGTTACTGCTACTCCCAGAAAACAGACATTTGGAAAAAGAAGAAACACTTATTCGTCTTATTAAAAGTCGTTTTACCATCAGAGTGATTCTGAAACTGATATTTCAAGCTAAAAAAAACTTACATTTACTTTTTAAAGTTCACACAAAATGAAAATGTGTCTTTTGCTGCTTATCCTGTAGCTCTGAGCTCATCTTTAACTTTAAGCACATATATAAATGTACAGTCTTTCAGAAAACAGACTAATTATTCAAATAAATTCAGATATAGCGTGAGGATGTCATTCCACGAACTGGTTGTGAAAGAAGTGGCTTGAGCTTGTTCATTTTGAAGTGTGGCTTGGTCAGGTTAGGATGTGAACCAAGCAGATTTAAATACAATGTCTGGCCTCAACTTCCGGTTTCAAGAAAACTGCACACAAACCATCATCGGGGTGTTTGAGGTGTAAAATCTTATATCTAGATGGCAGCAGACAAAGCCCGAGTTTAGCCATATGAGCGGTTTATGATATTTAATCAACTTCAAAATCTGTGTGTTAATATCAAGATAATTTATGATGACCGCAGGATGAATCTACACAGACAGAAGTGAATCAGAAAATGTGTTAAAGATCATTAATGTGTGCGCGCCCTCATCTCTGTGGTAAGTGGTTTAAACCTAAACCCTCATTCATGAATATTTCCCATTTTGCGCTTCTCTTTTAATTCTTTTAGGAAGCGGGTTGCCAAAGTTGTAATTTGTGTGTTTCACTTCCTCTTGGGTGCTTTTAGCCTTTGAACAGCTCACATCTGCAGTGTTTGTGATCACTGTTGGCATGATTACAGGGTTGCCTGTATTCTGAGACAAAATGTTCTGCAATTTTACCTGCCATTAGTTTTTAAAGTAGCCAAAGGCTGACATCAGTCAGAGATGATCACTAGGCACCACTTAATTTCCTGTTGTCTTTATTTAATTAAAATGATGACATCACAATGCATATTAAAATAGAAATACAGACGTGTAGCAAACTTCCTCACAGTTAATTTAATGTAGGAACTGTAGACACTTTAATGTAAAATTTTCTGTAAAGCTGCTTTGCAATGATTTGCATCGTGAAACGTGCTATACAAATAAACTTGAAATGAATTGAATCAATTTAATTTAAAACGATAATAAAATGTAATAATCTTTCACAGTTGTTTGTCAAAGCTGTCAAATGTTTATGAAAACATTTATAGAATCGAGAAATCATATTCTGTTACACCAAATACACAAAATAATGATTTTTAAAATAGCATCATATGACCCCTTTAAGTAGTTTCTGTCTAAAAGTGTAGATTTTTCTAGATTCTCAAAGATTCAAAGGTTTTGGTTCAGTCTTGTTTTTCAGCATCATCTGCGCTGACCAGTGCTTCCTTCGGTCTGTAGCGATGGCTTTTGTTTTCATATGTTTTCATAAATCACGTCTTCTGATGCCGGTGAGGACGTGTCCGGGATCTTTGCTGTCATGTCTGGTTTTTTGGGCTCTGTCTCAGATGTTGAGGTGTTGTTCTCTGCGTCTGCGGCTCCTGCAGGACGCTGTCGGACCGCAGCGTATTCACTGGTCAGCGAGGCGATGCCCCTGATCTCTGCTGACGGCGGGTCAGCGTTTGTGAAGTCGATGGAGGAATAATGAAGAGATTCAGGTGCACTCGGTGCCGTGGATGACCGCATGCCTTTATTGGCATAAACAAACTCACTGTCATTATCCAGAGAAACGGCCTGATGGAGAAGAAACGGCAAAATGAGTGAAGAAGACCTGCTGCACGACTGTCTGTAATGTCTTTGAGGATGAATAACTCACTGTTTGAGTCAGAATGAGTCCAGATCTGTCGTCTTGTCTGGGTTCTGAAGGTTTTTCTTTCCTTCTTCTGAAAAACATGTTTTCAGATCTTAGAAAAATTGATGCTTATATAAAATCTCAATCAGAATCACAAATCCTCCTTGTGATGAAGTCTCATCAGAACACTGTGTGATCCAGGATTATTATCGTTAAATAAAACTAAAACCATTTTTAAAAAAGTGTTTTGAAGTCTAAAGTCTATATTTGATTTCAGCTAGTTTCTGAAGCAACAATTTCACTTAGTTTAAACTGACGAACTGAAATAAAAAACTGACATAAAAATAAATAATAAAAAAGAAACTATATAGACACATAAACACAAATATATAACCAAAAATGACAAAAACACAAAATTACTAAAACATGATTTAATATGATAATATAAAAAAATATAAACGGATTAAAAATATTAATAAAAAAGCGTCATAGTGATACTAAAATAACACATTCAATATTAAGTTTAAAGTTAAAATATTTTAACTGTACTAAATAGCAATAAAAAAGCTAAACATACACAATTACTAAAACTAGATTTTATTTTAATACTATTTTACTTTAGTTTTAGTAATTTTGTTGTGTTTTTGTAATCTTTATTAGTTTAAATTAGATTTGTTTTATTAATTTTATAAATTTAATTAGTTATTTCAGTACTTATAATTATTTGTATTTTATTTCAGTTAACATTTATTTGCTTTAAAAAGTATTTTTTTGTATAATGACCCTGTGTTATGCTTTATACTTTAGAAAACATTTACCATAATAGCTGAAAAAATCTCTAATGTGTGTGTGTGTGTGTATTTAGCTTTATTTCATCATACATTACACCAATTTTGTGATTATCATGTTTTCTTCTTTGTTCCCACCGTTCATAGCAGAGCATCACGATGCACACGATCATCATCACTGACGCACCGACAGCAGCTCCGAGCAGTACCGACGGATGATGGAAACCTGGAAAACAGTGTTTTGTTGCTCAGAGGTTGGTCTTTCATAGTTCAGGAGATCTCACTGAAACTCATTTAACAATCTCAGATGTCAAATTGACATTATTACATACTGAACTTTTTAAAAGTGTAGTCTAAAGTGGTTAGAGCCTAATGGTTAGAGAGTCGGACTCATAACCCAAAGGTTGTGGGTTTGAGTCTCGTACCGGCAGGGATTGTAGGTGGAGGGAGTGAATGTACAGCACTCTCTCCCACCTTCAATACCACGACTGAGGTGCCCTTGAGCAAGGCACCGAACCCCCAACTGCTCCAGGTGTGTGTTCACGGTGTGTGTGTGTTCACTGCTGTGTGTGTGCACTTTGGATGGGTTAAATACAGAGCATAATTAATTATCTGCAAGTAGTTTTTTCAGTACAATTAAGCTACTTCTTTTTCACATGGATAAAGATATCATTTGTGATCTTTCTTGCTGATCAGATGGAGCTGTTGTTGTGTTTCTCACGTGTGTCTTGTGGCGGTGGGGCGGCCTGAAACTGTTGGCTGCAGCTGCCGTGGTTTTTTGTGCTGAAACACTGTAGGACGTCCGTGTCTGTGAGGGACTGATGGATGTTCAGGACGCTCTTCACTCCTGTGCTTCCTAACGTCTCCTCACTGATGGAGGTTTCTGTAGAGTTAGCGAGCACATATCCGGACAGACGCCACTCTAGTGTAGGGCAGGGATTCCCATGAGCCTCACAGACACATGCCATTACACTGCTTCGGCTGCAAGAGCTGGAGATTTTGGGTGCAACTGAAAGAGAAAATATAATCGTTATGATACAGAAGATCTTGATGGTCTCTACAGTGTACAACATGTTCAGAATTTGAATGATAAAACACTAAAAATACTATGGTAAAAAAAACATGTTAACAGCAAGTTCCCTAAGAAATCTAACGGGATATTTAATGCATTTAAATTTGTATTTACACATCTGTAATGATAAAGCTGCTATTTAGTACATTTAAAATATAATAATTTTAAATGTAATATTGAATTAGTATTTAGTATTCATTTAGTATCACTGAGACACTGTCATAGTTTTTATTAATATTTTGAATCAGTTTTTTATATATATTTTTCATTTTCTTTTTAAAGTTTTATCAATTTTGTGTTTTTGTTATTTTTAGACATTTTTGTTAATACGTCTGTATAGATTTTATTCATTTTTAATGATCTCTACAGTGTAAAAAAAACCATGTTCTTCATTTTAATGGTAAAACACTAGAAATGTCACGGTAAAACCATGTTAATTGGTTAAAAGCACGTTCCCTTCCTGTGAAACATAATAAATCTAACGGGACATTTCAAAATAAATACTGTTAAATGTACAGTTTTTAGAAATGAAAAAGAGCATGTCATCTTATTTTAATTTATTTAATTTAATTTATAATTCAGTCTTTTATGGTGGTTGTCAGTATATTATAAGAAAACAACAAAACATATTTTAGTATTTCAGTAAGTTGGTATATTAACATTATTTTATTCTGTAAATTTAAGTTCAGTTCACTGTAGATGAATACAAATGTGTTCATGACAAAAATAGAAGAACAAAACAACCTAGAGCTAATAGTTTCCTAAAGTAGAAAAAAGGAACAAACCACAATTATTAAGTTAGGGTTAGTTCCGTCTACAAAACGCCACACTGGTGAAAATGCCATTATTGTGCTGAAGAACTCATTTTACTCTTCTGACTACAGTAGCACTCAGTTATAAAAAGTCTTCACCCAAAAATGAACATTCTGTCATTTACTCACCAAACCTGTTTGACTTTATTTCAAAAAGATATTTTGAAGAATGTTGGGAACAACATTGGACCCCATTGACTTCCATTGTATGAATGAAAAGATACTGAGACATTTCTCAAAATACCTTTCTCAGAAAAGTAAGGAAGTCATGCAGGTTTGGAATGAGGGCGATAAACGTTGACAATTTTCATTTTTATGTGCAAACATTATTTTGATTATTTTGAGCTCTGTTAACATAATAATGTTGATTTGTTTATGCTACAAATTATTAACTCGGTGTAGTTTGTTGGTTGAACATAATTTCATTAGAAGTTGTCATGATTCAAAAGATTGATGAAAACTTTGCATTACCTTTTTTTAAGCCAAAACATTGTTTAAAGAGATAGTTCACCCAAAAATGAAAATTACCCCATGATTTACTCACCCTCAAGCCATCCTAGGTGTATATGACTTTCTTCTTTCAGACGAATCCAATCGGAGTTATATTAAAAAATGTCCTGGCTCTTCCAAGCTTTAAATTATAATGGCAGTGAATGGGTGTTATTTTTCAATAGTCCAAAAGAAGTCCAATAAAGAGCACGTACGACGTAGCGTAAGGTCCGGTGAGAAGTGACGAATGTGGAAACGCAGCGGAGAGAGCAAAACAAAACACTGGTCACGAATTAGAAGTACAAAATTAAGATTTGTAAAGAAAAATGTCTGAGGATTTTTATATATGCGAAGAGAAGACTGGTTTTCCTTTGCTAAAGTAAGGAAACTTTGCTTCCTTTGCTCCTGTAAACAAACGTTGGTTCTCGAGAGACTAGCATATTCTCACCGGACCTTATGCTACGTCGTACGTCATCCGCCGGAACGGTGTTATTGTGAATGCGCATACGACAGTTAGCGGAAGCTAGAGATTACTGTTTATAAAGTTTTAAATATGGATATTTTTCTTACAAAAACACATCGCTTTGCTAAAGGAGGCCTTTATTCACTCCCCGAAGCCATGTGAGGCACTTTTTATTATGGATGGATGCGCTTTATTGGACTTCTTTTGGACTATTGAAAAATAACACCCATTCACTGCCATTATAAAGCTTGGAAGAGCCAGGATATTTTTTAATATAACTCTGATTGGATTTATCTGAAAGAAGAAAGTCATATATACCTAGGATGGCTTGAGGGTGAGTAAATCATGGGGTAATTTTCATTTTTGGGTGAAATATCCCTTTAATGCGCAGCATCTAATGTTGTCGGTTGCCACAGAAAATCATATTGACTTGTTCCCCAGTGTTTGATCACTGCATTGGGTTTTTAGAAGTTTCTTGTAATTTCACTGGTTTAAGTGCAGTTTCACAAAGTTTTCTATAGAAATCTTGCATGTCAAAATGCTGTAGCGTAACTTTAACATGTTGCTCTATAACAAAATTTACAAAAGGGGAACTAAATCTCCTTCTGTCTACACCCATTTCACAGCTTTTCTAGCATGCAGCCTGTGCACAGCTGACTGTATAGTCAATCACCATCAACCTGTTTACCATTGTCGCCATACTCCGTGATGCACACACCATGTAAGATATTACACCATATAGCATGCTGTAGTGTAGTTTATATGATCAAATTGTATTCAACTTAAGCTATATGTAAAGTTTAAATAATTGAAACATGCTTTCGTGGTTTTTTCAACTCCTTAGTGTCTTTTCAGTGCTGAAATTCATATTATGACTGTGTGAAAGAAAGTATGCTTCTCTTGCATGCTTTTATGGTAAAATTGCAACTTTTCCATGTCAATTTACTTTTATTTTCACCATAAACAATGCACTTTGCATTCAATGCTGTCTAGAGCATTGTTATGTGTTTGCTGCATTTACTGTAGTTATTGCACTATATTCACAGTATTTATGTTATCAGGGATCAGATTAAGTTTATCCAGGCCCGGTTCTACGGGGGTGCTACGAAATCATAAGCAACGAAATCATAAGCACCCTCAGTTAAAGCTATATTAATGGCATTTTATTGCAGATTTGGCAAACTATCCAGTGTGTAATGGTTTGCGGTAATTTCTGTTTCAACGTGTTTTTGCAGCGTTGAGCAATGCAGCCAATCACAGACATATCGTTGATTTCTTAAACCAGAGGCGTTTAAGTTAGAATGCACTCATACCGCTCAAATCTGTAACAGTGTTCAGCACGAATCATCTCATTATAACAGTGTTGATGCAATCTAAATAAGAGATTTGTTGTGCAGTGCAGAGAACTTTAATGATAATAACGTATCTTTGTGAGATCGCGATGAACAAAGATGAGTGACAGCTTTTTTAGTGATTATGAACAGAGGCTCTTTGCGCCATAGCAATGGACGCCACTATATATATTAGTGGCGTATGTTGCTATGGTGCAAATATATATAGTTAAAAATAAATATATATATAGTTAGAGCACCCTCACTAATTTAAGAAGCACCCTCAGTGATTTGATTCTGGAGCCGCTCCGGAGTTTATCAGATTAAATTAATTTGAGATTTGTCTTTGTACTCACACTGAACATCAAGTTGGATTGTTGCATTGCATTGGCCATGCTGGTTCTGACCTTTACAGCCATACCGTGCACCGTATGTAGGGTTTGTCACAATGTAGGTGTGATTATGTCCAGTCTGGAGGAGCTCAAATTGAGATCCCGTCTCTGTGTACCAGGTGTAGTTGAGCTCTGCTGGGTTTGCATCACTGCTGCAGATCAGAGTCACTGGATCGCCCTCCATCACTGAGCTGGAGGTAAACGCTGACAACGATGTGTTTCTTGGAGCATCTGAGAAAAAAGGATGTGCAATGTAGAATGTGTGATTTAACAGTTCAAGAGTTGAAAGGCTGCAGGTTTAAAACTCTTATTTGACAAGTTTCAGATCACCATGAATTTTCACTGGACTCTCAGCTGATTACAAATTACTCACACTGGATGTCCACAAGAGTAACAAGTACTGACTCTGGACGGCCAGCAGATTAAAAAGTACTCGCACTGGATGTCGTGGTATTTAGATTTTTTTATTTTTTTTATTTTTTAATAATAGTAAAGCCGTGTCCTCAGTGGCTCTGATGTCAGGAGAAAATGAAGACTCTTATGTTCACTTTTACATTCAACTACAAGTCACCTTATGAGACATTGTTGTCTCTACAGCTCCTCGAGTGCAGAGAAAATGACGGACAGCACAGAACTGGCTGAGTGCAGAAATATACTAATACGGGACAGTCTGTCAGCGGTCATGGGCGGGCCTTGAGCAATATGACGTCATACTGCTCAGAAAATCAAAACGGCTTGATAATTGAGACTATTTAGGTTTTTGGGGATTTAAATATTTTTTTATTTTATCATTATTGGGTGGTTGTTTCCACACACTGCTAAGACACATTTATATGCAAACACCATGTAAAAGTGAATTCTGCATCCGATGTCCCCTTTAATACTCACACTGGACGTCCAGTAGCACTGATGAGTTCTGTGTGCCGTGTGTGTTCTCAGCTGTACAGTAATATCGTCCGCTGTGTGTCGGGTCGGTGTTGTTGATGGTCAGGTTTGATCCGGTCTGAACTGGATTCAGAGGTCTTTCAGAGTCTCTGTACCAGGTGTAGTGCACCACTGGGGTTGCATCACTGCTGCGGATCAGAGTCACTGAACGGCCCTCCAGAACTAAACCAGCTGGATTTATCCTCACCGATGTGTTTTTAGGAGCATCTAATAGAATAGAAAAAAATGTAGGCAGGCACAATATATAGTCATATTTTACATCTATTATATGCAGTATAAAGGTTGGTAATACACTGTGCAAAACAAGTGACTTTAAGTATTTGGAATATTTGTATGAGTAGTACTGCTGTCCTGTGATGCTCTCGATGAGAGATGAGCTCCATGTGAGAGATGGTGGACGAGATGGACAGAAGATCTTAGTAGAGCAGCGCAGACTCACTGAACTTCCCTCAGTCGTCTCCTGCTGATCCGGAAAGATGCTCAGTGTGGGTCTGGGGGGAGATCCTGAAACACACAGAGATATTACAAGATAATGTAGGTTGTCATATCCAGTAATGAAGGTATATATTGTACAGTAGTAGATTTCTTTTTCATGTCCAGTCACACTATAGAAGCAGCATGAACAATATGACACTCACCTAAGACGGTAATTTGAACTCGGGAGTGTGTAGCTGAGTAGCTATATTGCAATTCACCATTGGCTTCAAGTCTGAAGTAATATGAGCCTTCATGACTCTGATCAACATTATCGAAGCGTGTGGTGCAGTTTTTCTGTGTAGCGGTGCCAAATATTTCTCCTTTTAACAGTCCAGTGTTGGGGCTGCTGGAGTCAAACACAGCTGTACTTCTTCCGACTTTAAACCACTTTCTCTTTGCACTATCAGTGAGGTAATTTTTAAGTTGTTGATCAATATCAAATGTGCAGGGGATGAAAACACAGGATCCTTTCAGAACTTCTACTTTCTTCGGCAGATTGATATTGTAGCCACAAAAAACACCTAAAACAAAGACAAACAAATAGAAGGAAGTAATCATACAGAGGATACAAGCAGAACAAACTTCTGCAGCACTTATTGCTCTTTATCTCATAAAGGTCACATGAAAGTGCTTTCATAATAATAATAATTCATCTTGTTAAATAGAATAGAGGAATAATCTATAAGAATGAGACCTTGTATCAGAGATCCAGTGAGGAGGAACGTCACCAATGCTTCCATCATTTTCATACAGGCCACCTTACAGCAGAATAGACAAACAAATGAAAACATTTTATAGAATTAAAAAAGCAGAAATGTTGGACCTGTTTTTGCTTGTTTATCCTACGCACCTATCGATGACCTACAGGTGTGTGAGGGTAATTGTTGATTAATAGAATGAAAAAAATTATAATCTGTGTATGAATTTATAGCTCTTTTATTGGTATAAACTCATTATTTCTAGATTAAAGTTTAAGATTTTTTATTTCTAGAGTTTTACATGAGAATACAGAACAATACAAAAGATTTTTTTTAAAAACAGGACATGCTTATCTTGAACATGTTTCAAACCTTAATGTTTCAGAATCAACTCCTCTGTAAAAGGCTTTCTTGCTCTTTAATGCCTGTTTTTTTAATATAATGTTGCTTGTAAAGTTAAATGATGGTAATTAAAAAAAATACAAGTTCAAAAAAAGTAAAACATTTATTGTTCAGAATAATATTTTAAAAATTAAAATTTAGAAAATAGAATTGAATTTTCATCCCATGCCTTAACTGGGTAAAAATCTTGAAACTTAAAAAAAAAAGATATTTTACCCATATTTTTTTCTGTTTGAATTTCGAAAGGATGTAAAAACGATGGCTTACTCGCAGAAGCACTTTCGTGCAAGGTGGAATTTATTTACAGTGCCAGAAAGATTGTCCACAGTGAAGAATATATACAAGTGCACACAAAAATCCAAAGTACCAAAGAAACAACAAAAGGGGAAAATAATCCAACAATGATATATCAAACAGGTATTCACAGTATACAAAGGGTTTTGTGTTTGCATCAATTTGTCTTCTGGGAAACATGTAAGTATCTTCTGTTGCTTCCGAAGGGCAGTACTAAATGGGGGGAAAAAATTATATTTCAACAAATTAAGAAAAATTTGGACATCTTCATCCTGTTCAAAAGTTTTTCTTAAGGCTCTTAAGGCATCGTGTTTTCTTCTGGAGCATCAGTGAATGTTTGAACCTTTTTTTTAAACATTTATTGTTCAGAGTAATATTTATAAAATAAAAATTTAGAAAATAGAATTTAATTTTCGTTTCATGCCTTGAAGCCTTAACTGGGTAAAAATCTTGAAACTTGTCAGAAAAAAAGTGATATTTTACCAATATTTTTTCCATTTTAATTTCAAAAGATCAGATATTTATTTGTGAGATTGTAAAATGTTTACTTGTGAGATTTATATGCATTATGCTTGTGCCCACCAGCTCGCCTTCGGGGACAAAAATGTGAGTCCGTGAAAGGATGTAAAAACGAATTATTATTATTATTATTATTATTATTATTATTATTATTATTATTATTATTATTATTATTATTATTATTATTATTATTATTATTATTATTATTATTATTATTATTATTATTATTATTATTATTATTATTATTATTATTATTATTATTATTATTATTATTATTATTATTATTAGAGATTGTAGGCATTTTAATGAAGCTAAAGTACATGTCTTAAAACAAAATTGATCATTAAAAATGTAATGAAAAATAAAAGTAAAAATTTTAATAAAAACAAATATATTTGAATAGGAAATAAAAGACATTGTTTTATTTATTTATTTATTTTTTTTTTAAATAATTTTCAAAGTTTTTAAATTCCTTGTTTTATTGTTGTGATTATTGTTTTTATTTTATTTTATGTAAAGCACTTTGAATCACCATTGTGTATGAAATGTGCTATACAAATAAACTTGCCTTGCCTTGCCTATAATAAAATACATATTACAAATAAACCCTGCAGGACTGGATTACAGGTAATACTGTTGTAAATAATGTTCAGCTTCTTGTACCGATCGTTTCGCTTCATAAGAACTCAATGAATCGTCAGGTGCCACAGGTTTGAATTGTGTGTTGCCTGTATGTGCTTTTTTTTTTACTTTCAGAGTGAATGTAGCTGCTGATTTGCATTTTATGAATCACCAAGAACCACGGTTTCAGATAAAAAATCTTCTTTACTGTTCTACTGAAGAAAAAAGTCACATCTTGAATTGCCTGAGGATGAGTAAATTAACAGCAAATTTGCCTTTTTGTTAAAACGATGAGGAAAAACACTTAAAATATCTTCTTTTATGTTCCACAGATGAAAGAAAGTTCTGTAGGTTTGTAATTGATATTTTTGGATGAAGGATCTCTTAAATCGGTGCTCAAAGATTCAAAGGTTTTGGTTCAGTCTTGTTTTTCAGCATCATCTGCGCTGACCAGTGCTTCCTTTGGTCTGTAGCGATGGCTCATGTTTCCATAAATCACGTCTTCTGATGCCGGTGAGGACGTGTCCGGGATCTTTGCCGTCATGTCTGTTTTTTTGGGCTCTGTCTCAGATGTTGAGGTGTTGTTCTCTGCGTCTGCGGCTCCTGCAGGACGCTGTCGGACCGCAGCGTATTCACTGGTCAGCGAGGCGATGCCCCTGATCTCTGCTGACGGCGGGTCAGCGTTTGTGAAGTCGATGGAGGAATAATGAAGAGATTCAGGTGCACTCGGTGCCGTGGATGACCGCATGCCTTTATTGGCATAAACAAACTCACTGTCATTATCCAGAGAAACGGCCTGATGGAGAAGAAACGGCAAAATGAGTGAAGAAGACCTGCTGCACGACTGTCTGTAATGTCTTTGAGGATGAATAACTCACTGTTTGAGTCAGAATGAGTCCAGATCTGTCGTCTTGTCTGGGTTCTGAAGGTTTTTCTTTCCTTCTTCTGAAAAACATGTTTTCAGATCTTAGAAAAATTGATGCTTATATAAAATCTCAATCAGAATCACAAATCCTCCTTGTGATGAAGTCTCATCAGAACACTGTGTGATCCAGGATTATTATCGTTAAATAAAACTAAAACCAAAACCATTAAAACATTTTTTTGTTAAGTCTGTTTTATTTCAGCTAGTTTCTGAAGCAACAATTTCACTTAGTTTAAACTGATGTACTAAAATAACTAAAACTGACATAAAAATGTATAATAATAAAAAAAAACTATATAGACACAAACATGCACACACATATATATGTATATATAACCAAAAACTACTAAAAATGACAAAAACACAAAATTACTAAAACATTACAATTTAATATAATATAAAAAAATATAAAGTGATTAAAAATATTAATAAAAACTCAGTATCTTAGTGATACTAAAATAACACTGATTCGATATTAAGTTTAAAGTTAAAATATTTTAACTGTACTAAATAGCAATAAAAAGAGCAAAAAATACACAAAATTACTAAAACTTTAGATTTTATTTTTATACTTTTTCACTTGTTTTAGTAATTTTGTTGTGTGTTTTTGTAATCTTTATTAGTTTAAATGTATATAGTTTTTAAGTTCATTTTAGTTTAATTAGTCATTGCAGTACTTTTTTATTTCAGTTAACATTTTTTTGCTTTATAAGTAATTTTATTTATAAGTTTAAGTTTAAGTATTTTTTTGTAAAATGACCCTGCTTTATGCTTTATACTTTTGAAATCATTTACAATACCGGTAGTAGTTGAAAAATATATGTCACGAATTCAGTCCATGGACTTCTGTTTATTCACCACCAGAGGTCACCCTTTCCATTTCATTGACTCTCGCACTACACAAACTGTTGCCTAGCACCCCGGACTACATTTCCCATCATTCTTTGCACAATTTGCACACTGCCCTGATTGCACTGATTGCACACAGCTGTTTCTAATCACCTCACTCACTATATAACACCCACTCTAACCCTTCTGTTCATGAACTAATTCCCCTGTCTGAAGTGTTTCCCCTGATGGGGATCGCCTTTTGTTGCGTTTGGGCTGCATACACCTCCACAGAACTCCCAGAGGCGGCAGCACCCACTATTAGGTCTGCAGAGTCGGTGGCTGAAGCTACAGTCTCTCCTGAGGTGGTGGTGCTCGCTGCTGTGTTCCCCGAAGCGATGGTGCCCGCTGCAGTTTCTCCAGAGGTGGCGGCGCGTGCTGCAGAACCTTCCGAAGCGGCGGTGCTCGCTTCAGCTCCTTGCGTGGTGGTGGCGCCTAGAAACGTACATTCGACCTGTCATGTCAGGGTCGAAGAAACCTTCGCCGAACTCTCCCTGTATCCTGAGGGCGCTACTGTAGAACCTCCAGAGGTGGCGGCATCCGCTGCAGAACCTCCAGAGGTGTCAGTAGTACCCACCT